CAGAAGACCTTTTGACTAAATACCTTTCAATGGACTATCAGGCCTTTATCAGGAGACTTCTTTGAGAATTTTTGTAAATCAGGAGCTTAAGAATTCTCATGCTATTTCTAGTGGTGATAAGGTGGTGAGAAATACATAAGATTTTTCTGGAGTAAAGGACACTCACAGAAGCAGAATTCACCCAACTAGACCTCCCAGGATCTTTTCATGAAATATTTCGTCTGAGCTCTAAATGTGAGCCTACAAGCTTTAAAGCTGGGAAAGTAAGTTTTGTAACCCCCAACCCTGAAGCTTGTGTGAACCCATACCCACAAACACCCATACATACTCACACACGTAAATGTCTAGCAGAGGATTCTGTACTCTATTAAAACTCAAAAATTATTGTCCTTGTTCTATTTAATATATTTTATTAATTACCTGTTTGAGGACTTAGAAGGCATGTCTATATCTATGGATGACAAGGGAAGAGAGTTTAAATCAAGAATCAAGATTTATTGAACCATGCGCTAAACCTAATACGATAACATTAAACATGGTTGAATGTAAAGGCCTGTAATTAGGTCTGAAATATTAACTGCAAATGTGGGGACTAGAAGAGACCTTTAACATAATTCCTAAGACAGAGGCATGTAGGCGAGTTAATTATAAACTTACTCTGTGAAACAATGTGATATGACTGCCAAAATAGGAAACAAATTCCAAGTTAGGTTTCATTAATAAAGAAGAATAGTGTCTTGATCCAAGAAAGTAATTTTCCTACTTAATGAGAACACATCTGGAGCATTTTGTCTACTTCTTGGTGCCATAGAAATAGGATATTGAAAACTAGTACCTATTCAGTTCCTGAAATGTACAGATCAGTTGTTTTCAAACTTTGCTGTACAATTAAAATCTCTTGGGGAGCTTTTCAAAATCCTGATGCCGAGGCTTCACCCTATACCAATTAATCAGAATCTCACAGGGCAGGCCCCAGGCAACAGTTTTTGTTTCTTTGTTTGTTTGTTTTTAACTTCCAGCAAAGTTAGAAAATCAGGACATTAGATATAAACCTCTTTTTTTTTTTTTTTTTTTTTTTGAGACAGAGTTTCACTCTTGTTGCCCAGGCTGGAATGCAGTGGCATGATCTTGGCTCACTGAAACCTCCATCTCCTGGCTTCAAGCGATTTTCCTGCTTCAGCCTCCCAAGTAGCTGGGATTACAGGCATGCGCCACCATCCCTAGCTAATTTTGTATTTTTAGTAGAGACGGGGTTTCTCCATATTGATCAGGCTAGTCTTGAACTCCCGGCTTCAGGTGATCCACCTGCCTCAGCCTCCTAAAGTGCTGGGGTTATAGGCGTAAGCCACCGCGCCCAGTCATAAACCTCTTTTATCTATCTACTCTGGCCATTGTCTTGGTCTCTCCTTCTTCCCCACTGCCTCAAATTCCCTCAAATTTGCACCCCTCAAAGGTTTTCCAGAATGACCTCAGTAGCCTACTTAGGCTCCCAGATTCCAGATTTGCTTTACTTTAACCCACTCTCCCTTTACCTGCTGCCAAGATGATCAGACTAATATGCAAATATTATCAAGTCGCTCCTATACTTACAATACTTCGATGGTTACCCACAGTACTCAGCATAAAGCTCAAATTCCATGAAGTGTACAAGACTCTTTATGATCTGGGCCTTATCTATAGCCTATAAATCCTTCTCTAGCCCTCTCTTCTATCACTGCACCATATACTGCTTTCACTCTTGCCATACTTCACATGAATATGTTGCACTACTTCATATTTCTGTGCCTTTGCTATTACTCAGTCCATATATCTCTTTTCCTTCAAGTCTCAATTTAGTTAACTCTTTAAGAAAACAAAATGTCTTTGATGCCTCTACTATGTGTTCTATAGAATTTAGTATATACTTCTAATTAGCGTCAATCACCAAATTCTTATGTTTCATTTTTCTTTCTCATTATACTCTAAACTTTCTCGTTTAGTGTCTAATTCTTATCGGTCTTTGTAATCTCAGTGGGTAGCACAATGCCCAGCACGATATGACTCTCAAACAAACTCTTGTAGATGGAAAAAATAAATGAACAATGATAGACCTGAAAGTCAGGTTGTATGAACTGACCGTGGACATCTGCTCTATGAGAAAAAGGATGTTACCATTTTTAAACGTGTAAAAGAAAGAGACATTCCAGTTGATTACAGAAAATCATATAGAAGAAATGAGTAGAAACTACAGGTGACATATTTTTGCTCACTGTATAATTAGAACTTTTACAAATGGGATGATTCCCATGAGGTAGGATGCTGAGTTCAATAGACCTGTTCAAGCAGTCTGAATGCATTTCTTCACTGAATGAGGAATAGAGGGATGGATAAAGAATTTCTAAAATTCCTTCCAACTCTAAGATTCTTCCATTTTAAAATGAACATTTAGTAAACAAATCAACTGACTTTCAGAAAATATTGGTTTTAGTTAGAGAAACTATTGTCCAAGAAGAATGAAGACTAAAGCACAAAGAAGTTGGCTATTTTTAAAAAGGCACCCTTATCACCTATCTGGAATTAAAATAAGGGCATAAACATACTTAGAAAAATATACACTGCTATTTCAAGCTGTCACTAAATTTCCATAAATCAGGTAAAATTCTTAGAGGAAGTGGATCAGAGAAGACAAATAACTGCTATTTATACCAACCTCTTACCCTAAGCCCTAAAAACTCATGCATAGATAGTGACTAAGAGAAGGAAAATAACAAATCAGATCAATTATATTACAACTCTTTTACTGTCCAAGAATAGCCATCTCTTCCAATGAAGGAAAACTCAATAAATTACATTTAGAAAAAGCAACTCAATCACCCTTGTAGCTTCTGGCTGCCACCAGAAAGATCAGAGGAAGTTATTATTAGAAACTTGGGAAAGACACATTAGAAACCACAGCAAAGGCCTTGGATATTTAAAAACTCAAATAGTTTCCATCTGTGTGTCAAGCCATAATGAAATTTGCCCAAACATTGGATATACTGGGGAAAAAGATAAGTCAACATGCAAGATTAGTAAATAAGAGATACATGGAAATGGAGACCCCTAGCAAATGTAGTGGTAGACACTGAGAAATTAAAAGTGGGAGGTAAAAAGAATATTTTTACTAGAAAAAATTGCACAGTTCATCTCTTTCTAAGCTAAAATGTCTGCATTTTACACAAAATTTGAAGAATTTTCCTGGCAAATAAAGCAAAGGAGGAGCTAAAATTAAAGAAAGACATTTCAAATAAGAAAACTGTGGAAACATCCCTAAAGGCCCATGGAACATCTGTCAGAGGCCTCCAGATGAGCCTGTATCTCTCCACATGAGACCTTCATCTTGCCCTCACTTACATGGGCTTGTTACCAAGACCCAGAAACTCTCTTTCAGGAAAGTTTCTTCCCTAAATGTCAAAACTCCCACCTTCTTCTGAGAAGTGTCGCATTCTTACAATTCACCAAACTGTGCTTATTGCAAAGCCTATCCCATAGTCTATTCTCAGGTAAAGTTTATAGAATGAATGAATGAACAAATTCATCTAAGGTAAATGGATGTCACCAGATCCCAGTGGCCTTTCTTCTTACACAAATTTAAAATTGTTTAGATACAAATATTTTGGAATTAAAATTAGTGTCCTTTAGCACACTACAATTATGATACAGACCCTGGAATTATCTCCTTTGGCACATCTTTGTAAATTACTTTCTGGGCCAGGCACAGTGGCTGACGACTATAATCCCAGCACTTTGGGAGGTCAAGGGTGGATCACTTGAGATCAGGAATACAAGACCAACCTGGACAACATGGCAAAGCCTCCTCTCTACCCAAAAAACCCACAAAAATTAGCCAGGTGTGGTGGCACACACCTGTAATCCCAGCTCCTCAGGAGGCTGAGGTGGGAGAATCACTTGAACCAGAAAGGTGGAGGTTGCAGTGACCCGAGATCGCACCACAGCACTCCAGCCTGCGCCTAAAAAAAAAAAAAAATATTTTCTGATATAATTCAAAATAGAAGTCTTCCAAATAAAAAATCCTACTGTCTTCAAAATTGTTCCTGAATTTTGTTAAAAATGCTTGTCTCAGCATCCTAACAAATTCTCTTTAACTTGAGATCATGCTAGTGAACCTGTGCATGCATGTTTTGTCAAATTCTTTTTCCCTTGTCGAGATGATGAGTTTTCCTAATCCTTCCAAATGCTTTCATCTGGGCTCTTCCTAAGCTCAGTTACAAGCCCTTTAAATTTATCTGGCCTTAAATTCAGGTCATAGTCTATGGCAATAAAAGCGGTGGCTCAAGCCTGTAATCCCAGCACTTTGGGAGGCCGAGGCGGGCGGATCACAAGGTCAGGAGATCGAGAACATCCTGGCTAACACCGTGAAACCCCGTCTCTACTAAAAAAAAAAAAAAAAAAAAAAAGTGCTTTTCCTCTAATGAATATAACTAACCTTTACAAGGTGTCTAATATTTTTATTAAATGAACAAATAGATTCTCAAAACCCCAGCCACCACCCCCCACTCCCGTAGTAGCAGCGTATCACTAGACAGAACACTACCTTTTCATGCACTAAGTCTCCTTTTTCTGCAGCCACAACCAAAGCTAGATAGAGGACATGGAATTCTTTTTAGGCTTACCAGCCTGGTTTCCATTATCTTCATACGTATTTCCTTTAGGGCCTGACTGTTTTAAAATCTCTTGTTATGGGGTTTGGAGTGCATCTTGAAATATAAATATTTATGGTGAATAAAAGCAAAGTCAAGTCATACACTTTTACAGCCAAAACTCCTGCCTGCACATTATAAGCTCATTTATTGCAAAGGAAGTTCTCCTTATTGAGAAGGGAGAAGCGAAGGGATGAAGTATGTCACTAAAATATTTAAGGTTAAGCAGCCCAGCTCTGTATTATTCACAGCCAACTTGTGTTGCTTCTCAGAGACACCTAAGTCCCCACAAGTAGTTTGCTAATGCCCTTCTTATCTTACCTTTTTCAGAGTTCTATAAGCTCCCAAACTACAAGAGGATCCTAAGTTCGTTGAAGATAAAATGGAAATTGTGAGCAACTGAACTACAACTAAACTTCAGAGCCGCAGCCCCTTCACTCTGTCCCACTCTAAGACATGCTTTAACCTCCGCCTTCAGCCACTGCCAAAGCCATTAAGTTAGACTTACACCATCCAGACAACCTTGCTCCCCAAGCAACTAGTCTGGACAACTGCGTCCTGTTCTGCCTCAGCAACCTCAGCTCCCAACATAACTCTCTAACCATTAAACTGTTCCTGTAATATCTCTTCAGGGACCAAGTCCAGGCTGCAAGTAACGTAAATCCATTCTACTGGAAAGAGCTGTATACAACAGAATGAAAACTGGCTCGAGGTCAAGAAAAAAAGAACAGAAAACAAAGGCTACAAAAGACAGAGTGATTACATTCATACATCATTTTTGCAGTTCTTTTCTGACTTCCCTCTCAAAATTCCAAAGAAGCATATTTTAAAACCATCAAAGTCCATGGTTTCCTTTATTCTTTCATTTAGAATTCTAGCTCTACACATTCAGAAACTATGACATGATTTTAAAATGCTAGATGAATATAGCGTATATACGAGTATGTGTGTGTATGTGTATATATATATATAATTTTTAATTCCAAACACATTTTAAGAGATCCCAGAGGCAAAAAAAAAAAAAAAAAAACACTGTATCACGTTTATTAAGACAGAAAGAAAAGTCTTCATGATTGCATATGTCAAATAAGTATTGACTTATGCTTAGCCAAAGCTAAAGACAAGCCAAGATACACTGGGAAACTGCAGAGGATTTTCCTCTTATCAGGCAGATACAAATACAATCCTATCCAGATATAGAATGAAACTTCAAATATGTAATTATGTTTGAAGAACTGAGAGAACAAAACGCCTCAGGTACCTAAAAGAACCATCTATGTTTATTATCTGAGTTTCACATCTGATTCTTCCCTCTAATTCAATCAATTTCTGCCCATCACCATTAAACTGTGACTCTGACCAGACAGGAGCTAGGGGATAAAGACCATGCCCTCTCTCATTTTCCACCCTCTGATCTCCAGCTTATGCTTCCCTCTGGCAGAGGAATCTGGCTAATGAGATGCAGAAAGGTTAGCCTCCCAGAGCAAAGAAGGTGAAGGAGTGTGCAGAGTAGACTTCTCAAATAGAGAAGAGCTAACACATATCCCTGGCAATGCTTCATGGAATTATGGAGCTGATAAAATAAGATGATACACATGAAGATGTCCAGTATAATGCCTGCCACACAGAAAGCACTCAGTATACATGAGTTTTCATTCCCCCTAGCCTTGCAGGGCTTTCATGCCACCAAGTGTAAATTGAAGGAGTACAATTCACCGGGAGCTATATAGTTCCTTCAAACTGATTTCTACAACTATGTCCCAACTCCTCTGTTACAAAATAAAACCCTCATCTTCAGAAAGTTTATCCTTGTGGCTCATCAGGAGTCTTCATTTTGCTGTTTAAGAACATTTGAGAAATCATCCTCCAAAGATGGTTTTTCTCCAGACTTAACAGAAAGCATATCTTTAGAAACTAAGAGTGAAAAATTAGGATTGTGGTAGATATACAGATAATTCAGCAAAAATATCCAGATGAAAAGTATTGCTCAAAAAATCTTTCCCCATTCCACCTAAGCCACCCTTTCCCTTAGCAATGTGTCTTAACCCTAATGCATTAATATAAGCTAACTAACACAATGACTGAATCAGAATGACTCATCCTAAGTGCATGGACATATATCTAGGATAGCATGATTACATTTATTCTAGTCAAATAATTTGAGATCAGAAAACTAAAAGGGAGAGCAAGTTCAAATGCTCATGAGTAGGATGAAAAGCAGAAGACACAAAGAGAAAAGTTTTTATTCTGAGCTTTGATTGAGAGAGATCTTTTCCCAGTACAAATCAGATTTTTCCTCCTCTGCATATTTATACTTCATTCTTAAACTCTCCTGAATGGTCTTTTGAGACATGATATTTGTTCTCATAGTTTACAATGTTAACCAAGCATAATTCTTTGCAAATGCTGTTCCTCCTGGAAAATGCTCTCCTCAACATCCCGCTCCTGCTGCTCCCCAAAATACCCACAAATCTAGCTGTCTTGTTCAAATCTCTGCTGAAATGTCATCTTATCAGATAGGTCTTTCCTGACCACTTTATCCAAATAATAGCTCCATCTCATCACTCTCTTTCTCTCTTACCTTAATTTTTCCCTGAAGCATTTATTACCCATGACATATTATATATTTTTATTTGTCTGTTTCTAACTAATTATGTCCCCATGAAATCAGAGACTGTGTCCATTTAGTTCCTAATACCCTATACTAGTTTCAATAAATGATGAATATGCAAAAAGCATTTATTCTTGGCTGAAGACAGGCAAGGGATACAATGGACAAAGGATTCTGTACTTTGGGTTGCAGTATGCAAAGTAACTACAAGACATGTGATTTATTTTATCTTTAACACATTCACACCTAAATCTACATATCCAAATGTGTATTGTCCTGTTGAAGGTCTTCCACTTTGCTATCTATTCACTTACTCTCGTTAAGTTGCCATTACTTAAAATTTCTCAGAGCTCCATTTCATTATTGACATCAGCTCAAATTATTTTGAGTAGCCTCAGTTGTAGCAAATATAGATGAATCTAATTTTCTTAAATAACCCTAAATCACTCAGAATAAGGAATGGCAAGTGAAGTGAATAAGCAGGCTGAGTGATACCAGTTGTGGTCAAATATTAAGGATGACTATAAGGTAGTAAGAGCTCAGTTATTCAGAAACTGGACTAAAGACAATCACCCACACAAAATGAGTCACCAATATTTTTGCACAAGGGCCAAATCATCACAATAAATGCACCATTTTCAAGTCAGCACTCTGAGAGAAAACTGCCATTTTAATGCAAAAATTCTAATCATAACTTTAAAACTCAGCTCATTACCTCCAGTTTATATATGAGTCTCAGATTTTTTTCTCTAAAGAGTTCAATGGGAGTTTAAAATAAATAGTCTACACGAATTTCAAATCCTTGAACTCTTAGAGGACATATTTTAAAATGTACATCCTCACACTGTGTTTTCAATTTATAAGACATTATTTTCCTTCTTCCTAGAAGCCTAAAGCCATGTCAGGGGACTCATGATTAGGTACTGCAGTGAGAACTATCAGAGGAGAACATGTCCAATAAAATGATCTCTTGTGTTTATAGAAATTCACAGTTTACACAGGAACTAATAAAACTAACATAAAGGAAGGTTTCCTGACCCAATAATGTTTCTGAGAAGTATCAGCACTTTATATGAACCAAGCCAAAATGAGGCATTTCAGCCAGTCACAAATACACACCGTGTTTACCACAAATCTGAGACAAAATTTAGAATAGCTTGAAACTCGAAAAGTACGTTAGGTAATATATATAAAATTCTTGGCTGTGTTGTTAAATACATCATGGAAACATGTAGATCCAGTAATGTTTCTAGGAAGTAGACTCATGGGATTAACAGATCACCTGGTCTTTCTTCCTCAAATTTACCACCAAACATAAACATGCCCCTTGGGCGTAGACATGCCCCTTGAAGATAACTCCCATCAAAGAGATGCTTTATAAAACAGGCCTTTGGAGTTTGAGATAGGCCAGATAATGCCCCAACAAAGATAATCAAATTGTAATCTCTAGAACCTGTAAATGTTACCTGCTAAATGTTAAATTAAATAAGCAGGAGGCCATTAGCCAGAGGCTCTCTCCATAGTTTGAGTTCCTACGTAACAAACTATAACCTAACTCAGTAGTAAACAAACCAAAACCTAATTCAGAGTATATTTTGTAACAAATAGCCATTTTATCCAATCACAAACAGCCAAACTTCAGCCAATCACAGGTAGCCAACTAATTAGACCATACCCCTTCAGGCAAATGCTTCATCACACCATACCCAAATAAGGCAAACATCCAACTAAAGCCAGTCAGGTGATTTCTCCACTTTGGTCCCATGTCCAGCCTATAAAAGCTTGCTGCTCCCACAGATGGGCAAAGCTCTTTGAACCTTTGCCAATTCTGAGAAGTCCCCAATTCATGAATCATCATTTGCTCAAATAAACTGCATTAAATTTATCTGAAAATTTTCTTTTAACATGAACCAAAAGGGGTTTTGCAGGTGTGGTTAGGTTGAGGATCTTCAGATGGTAAGATTTGCTAGGTGGGCCTTAAATGCAATCACATGTATCCTTACAAGAGTGAGCAGAAGGAGGCTTAACAAAGAGACACACAGAAGGGAAAGAGGCAATATGACTATGGAGGCAAGGACTGGATTGATACAGCTAACAAGCCAAGGAATGCTGGCAGTCATTAGAAGTCGGAAAAAGCAAGTAACAGATTTTCACCCAGACCCCTGGAGGGAGTATGGCTCTGTCAGCACCTTAATTTCAGCCCACTGAAACTGATTTCAGACTGCTGGCTTCCACAATGGTGAGAGAGTAAGTCTCTGTTGGTTTAAGCCACCTAGTGTGTAATAATATGTTATCCTTGCTTTAGGAAATTAATGTAGATTTCTTCCATTAACCCCTCCCTAAAGTTTTATTGAGAAGTAATTCACATATCATTTAGTTCACTTATAAAATGTGTAAGGCAACAGTTTTTAGTGTATTTCCAGAATTGTGCAACCATCACCACAATCAATTTTAGAGCATTTCATCACCTCACAAAGAAACTCCATACCCATTCACTATTTCTCTACAACCCGCAGGCCTAGGCAACCACTAATCTACTTTCTACAGAACCAAGTATTCTGGACACTTGCTCTAAATGCAATAATACAATATGTGGTTTTATGACCAGCTTATTTTACTTAGCACAATTTTTTCAATATTTGTTCATGTTGTAGCATGCATAAGTGCTTCGTTCTTTTTTATTGTCAAATAATATTCTATTGTGTGAGTATACCAGCCAGTGTTTATACACTCATCAATTGATGGACTTTGTGTTGTCATTTTTGGCTATTATGAATAATGCTAACATAAATAACATTCATGTAAATGTTTTTGTGTGAACACATTTTTATTCCTCTTCAGTACCTACATAGGAAGAGATTGCTGATTGTTTAACATTTTTTGGAACTGCCAAACTGTATTCCAAAGTGACTGTACTATTTTACATTCCCATCAACAGTATA